GGCGGCGGCGAGGCACGCGCACGCCGCCGCCGCCTCCTCGCCCGTTGCCATGCGGGCCCCGCGGCCTGCTTAGCAACCGCTGCGACGGCGGCCGCGCGGGGCCAACCGCAGTCACAAAGCGGTGACTGCCCCGCGCGCCCCTCGGGGAAACCCCAGGCGCCCGGACCACGTGACGGACGCCATCTTCGAAGCGGGCAGAGCCCTCGGAGATCCCACATTCCATAAGTCGGAGGGAAGGAGCCGCAGCCATCTTGGAAGCGGGCAAAAACAGCTGTGGCTGGAAGCCCGGGACTGTGGCACTGGTGTTGTGCAAGATGCCAGCCCTGAGCTGCCCCTCGGGGTTTTGCCTACAGAAAAGTGACAGAGCAGGGTTTGGCTGGGTTTTTTCCTGTTGCAAAGCACTGAGAGAGGCCCGAGCTCTGGAGCACTGTTGGAAGTCCCTAGCAAATCACGTTTCCACCCCTCACTGCAGCGCCAGATTTAGGATTAAACTACAGTTTAGGGCCTCACAATATGAGAGAAGAAAAAAAACCTGGGCATTTTCATTCTAAGATGACAAAAATAGACATAGATGTGGCTCCACAGTTATTATTCATCTCGAGTTCATCAATTTGTGCAGAAATAACACTCGTTCCTCCTAAAATTTCACGGAAATCCATTTTTCATGGATTATTTTTATCATATGGGGCTCTAAAGCTGGACATAATTTATGGTAGGGCCTCAGCATGTCATAATCCGGCACTGCTGCATGGCTAACGCAGCATGGCACTCCTGAAAGGAGCTCAAGGCACCCTGGGGTGCTGCATCCTTGAGCCCAGGGGATTTGGAGGGACAGCTCTGATGGACCTGTCATCCCTGTGGGAACATGCTGTGGGCGCTGCCTGTGCCAGGGGCTCCCCCAGCTTGCGTGAGATCGGCTTCACATCAGGGCCCATCACACACAAACCAGCTCTTTTGCTTTGCCATGGCATGCGAAAAGGTGCATGATGCACGCAAAACACAGTGCATGCAAACCATGATCCATGCAAAACACAATGCATGCAAACCTTGATGCACGCAAAACATAATGCATGCAAACCTTGATGCACGCAAAACATAATGCATGCGAAGCTTTGGGCGCCATCCTGCAACAGCCTCCCTTGACAAACGAACGCCAGCCCTATCGCTCTGGGACAGGCAGCCGTGCATGGGGACTGGAAAGCAGGGCCCTGGAAAAACAAGGGGCAGCGCTTTGCTCCTAGACCTTTGCGGAAATGTGAATTTGATGCCAGCAAACAGGCTTCCGGCTGCCACACGGCGACCAGCCATCACGTCTAAGCAGGGTTCTCCATGGCACAAGCAATGGACCCGTGCAGCGTTGCCCAGCTAACATGAGCTGCATGGATTTTATTGTCTTGTTTTTCTTTATTTTGTTCTTCTAACCATTGCAATTCAGTTTGACATCAGTGACAATTAAATAACGACTAAAAACGAGGGGGGGGGCACCCTTGCGAGGCGCTACGTGTGATCTCTCCAGACCCTTTCTGGATCGGTAGATGGAGAGTTTCTCTTACCCTTTCATGTTACGACAACTTTTGGTCCCCTGGAAATGGGAAGTTAAAAGCCTGAAGTGAGAAGCAGCACAGTTAAGTAGATGTTCGTCCCCAGTGGGGTGTCAGCAGCTCAGGAATGAGCGCACTAAATGCTCAGAGAACTCTAAATACTGAGGATTTTACAAGTTCTTAGCCAAACGTGAACAAAATTGCCTTGAAACTAGGCCTAATGGGCAACTTCAGCGGGGCGCTGCCACCATCCACTTGTCACATTTAATTGAAAACAAGCTGTTAAAGGGGCTCTGAGGACCTACACTCCACTTCAAGCAGGATCTCTTTAGCTGCATAGAAATAATTACTTGAGTCATAGGAAGGTGCTTTTTCATTTTTATCACTTTGGTGGGAGGGCTCGCGTGGGGAAGTGTTCAGGTTGGAGGATGCCGCAACTATTAGCAAGGAAGGGAGGCTTCCTACCACCCTATTGCACGCCATCGGTATTTCACTTCCTACAAATCAATGATTTGCCATGAACAGTTGCATTCAAGGGAGGGGCAATCTCCTAATAAAGCAATCCCTAGAAGCACACAGGCATGGGCAAACCAGGCGGCTGCCAGAAAGGGGCCCCGAAATTTATTTTTTTCCATTGTCCGATTATTATTGTTATCTCTGGCAAAGGGGGACCCGATACTAAAAGTGTGCCAGGAGTCTAGGTAGGGGCGTACCTACCAGCCAAGAAGGATTCACCCCAGATGTGGATTCTTAAAAGCTCTTGCTTTGAGGGTCTGATTTAAAAATCTAGATGCTCCCAAAAGACGTAATGCCCGATGCCCCGACTACCACCCCCTAACAGATTTCTGAGTAACGCACCTGTGCTCTCTGGCTTTGAAAGATGGGCCACAAAGGAGAAGAGATGGGGAAGGGGAGGGTAAGATAGGAAAAGAAGAGTGCTTTCTCATGGGCCACTCCAGGCTGGTTTTGGACAAGCCTCAACACAGTCCATTAGTCTAAAGCAAAGGCAGAGTAAGTGCAGCTGCGCCTGGGGCACATCATCTGAATGCATGGCTTTCTTTTTCCTTTTCACAGAACTGAATGATGTACGGAAACGATGTGTCCTACACTAACAACCTCTGCTCGCAGTCGGACGTGTTCTTGGCCTGCTTCAAAATAATAATTCTGGAAAGTGTGAAATCCCAAAACGGTGTGGTTCTCTGGGCTTACTGAGGAATAATGTCCTGTGTGACCCTATGCCACAAGAGAAGTAACTATTTAGGGATGTCGAGTTCAAAGGGCTCTGAAATTTCTTAGGCTCTTATAAAAATCTCATCTGAATGGCTCACTTCCCCTATTTAACAGAGTCTTAGCTATTTCCATATTAATTGTCACTTAAAATAGCTGACTGGACTTGGCTTTCTTGGATTACATAATAATAGCTGTTTACAGTCGCTTGGGAAATGGGCTGGCTGTTGCCTAGCCTTAATGAGGACCTAATGAGACAGCTCTGGCTGTTTTGAGGATGTACCTGTCTGGCACCAAGGGGCCCCTTTTGGCAGTGAGCAGAGAGCCCATGCACTAAATCGAGTAGGAAGTTGTAGGAGCAGAAAGACCCTTTAGAAAAGGGTGTGATGGTGTCTTGTTGCACCTGCTCTATCATGAAATAGAGGGAGTCCGCCTGTGTGTAGAAGGGGGCTGGCAGCACGGTGGTCTCAAGCAGGGTCTTGGGCTTTGGCATTTGCCCTGCTCCCTGGGCTGGAGTACTGTCAAGCACACTGCAAGCCCACCTTTTCTCCCAGGCCTCTGAGTTCCTAGCTACGAGGTCCTATGGTTGTAAGGGGAGTTATTTTATGTGCTGCTGTGGATCGATGTTGGGTGAGGAACAGCCATGTGCTGTATATTTTGATGATGTTAAAAAAATACCTCCAAGCACCATGGAGCTGAGCTTTTACACACTGGTAAAAACAGATGGAGAGAGACAGGATGCTGCCACGCTTCCGCTGCACGACGAGGAGGTAGCCCCACTGCTGACAAGCTAGAGGAGAGCCAGGGCACTCCCTCTCTCTGCCTTACCTAACTTTTCTGGAGCCCTGCAATAGCAAAATTTAGTGCGGGCAGACAAGTTGCTTTATTCCTGTATACATGCAGACAGATGTAATCCACGGTGCAGTTCAAATAATGCACTCGGGCTTTTCTCCAAGGTTGTCAAGGCACTTCACAAAACAGGAATTCACCAGGTCTCAGCAGCAAGTCAGCCATGTTTGCATAGATTCAACCCAAGCAGAGGTATGCAGTCGTAGCTGTATATGAAGAACCGGTGCATATGGCTCTGAGAGTTGAAATCAAGGAGTTGCTGCGTGGGTACGGTGATTCAAGGAGCTGCAGAAGCAGGATACACACATTCAAAAGGAATTATGGTATTTATGCAAAAAGCCACAATGAATTAATAAACTATTCAAAATTGTGTGTTTTAAACATTGTGTTTTTATTAGGAATTGCACAAGACCAGCTTTTTCTAGTACTTCTACCATCGCTTTAAAATACTATTACAAACAACCTCAGGGGGTCAGAAGTATGCCAGGGAAATAGAAAAGGGGCTTTTATAATAAAAACAAATGACTCAACAACATGAGATTTTGTCCCACGTGCAACTACGTTAAATCTGTCAAAATATTAGTGCAGGGGGCGAAAATCTGAAAAACACCTGACGGTCCCACAAGAACAACTTTTAATGGTAACAAAAATATGTATCCTTTAGGGACAGTACATTCAATATAAAAACAGCAAATGCCGAGTGCCCTGTGTCATGTAGCCGGCAGGTGGTGCTGCAATCTGTGAAATGTGCTCATACAGAAAGCAGAACACAGCCTCCTGTTAAAATCCATCAGATTTTGTCAGAAAGGAGGATCTATATAAAACTAATCAGAATTTGGGACACAGCACCTGTAACAGGAATTGCTGCGTGCTACGGGGACATGGCTGAAATGTGAAACGAGGAGGAATCATTTTAACAAACGTAACAAAAAGATGGGGTAGGTTCTCAGGCAGTGATTAGAAGGGGGAAGAAAAGAATAAATGGTTCCAGGAAAATCAAGATCCCACCTGTTGGGATCTCAGCAGACAGCAATCGGAGTTAGCCCATGAGCTCAGACCACAGGAGCCACGGGACTGCCCTCCCACCCTCATCTGACTCTGCCACCTGATGCAGGGAAGAGGGAGAGAAAAGACAGCATCCCCACTAAGTGCATGATGCTGCCCACACCGAAAGAAGAAAGACCCTTCCCCACAGATGGCCAGCACAGCTGAAAGTGCAAGGCTTCATCAGCCTGGTAATGTCTCATCACAGCAGCCTGCAGAGCTCCGACTATAAACTGAAAACAACCTTATAACGCTTCCCGCCTGGTGTCGCAAGGAGAAATGACCAGGCAGGGAAAGGTCCCAGTCCCTTCTCTCATAGTCAGCAGCCACAACTGATTGCACACTAGTCGCTTTACAACAGTACATGTTCTTCATATAAATCTCACAGATTCCTCAAAGATCCTGACTTTTCTGCCGCAGGCCTGAGCCAGACACGAGTCAGAGTATGGAAAAGACTGTACCCAAGGCACAGTTGGTCTCCCCACATTTTTCTTCCTAACCTTTGGTCCTTTTAGAAAGTGCTATCAGAAGCATGCTCTTGAACTCTGCAACTGTCCAGGAGACTGGATGGTCACCTTGCTGGGGGGCACCTGACCCCAGCTGTCTTCCCTGCTCAGTGCAGGGGGCTGGACCCGATGATCTTCCGAGGCCCCCTCCAGCCCTTTACAATCTATGACTCCATAAAAACTTCAGCAGTGCTAGGTGTTGGACTAACATACCCAGGGACTGGCATCTTTTATCCATCAAACACAGCCGACACAGGGTTAGCATCCTAAACTAATAACCATTCATCCCAGCCCTTTCCTGGTGGATCCCCTCTAAGAAGAGAGGGATTCAGTTCCTTGAGGTCCAGTCAGTCTTGGACCACTCTACTGAGACTGCCCAAAAGGCTGTCCACCACTACTTGCACCGATAGGGAGGATGGGTGTTTTTAGTGAGGGCATCTGTCTGCAAACAGGTATCAGGACACAGCTGTAGCTCTCCAGTGCCTTTCACACCAGTCACCAAGTAGCCACCAGATGGAAGCAACTGCTGAGACTGCTAGCAAGGGCCACATTTAAACAGCCAATCTACAAATGAAAGGCTCCTTATTTTATTGCCTGCCCTCCTGGCCAGTCCTCTGCAACACATGCTAGCACTTCATCACCATAAACACCAGCAATGAAGAAGGAAAACCATGGAAAAGCCAACAAGTCTCATGAGCAATGGAAAATCCAACAAAATGATTGCAGGGAAGGAGGATCTGTGTATATATAATTTGTAGAAATCAATTTTTCCAAGGGGTTAATGATCTACTACGGCGATACACCAGATACCTGGTTTTCATTAGTCTGCATGGATGAAACCATTATTTCCTGCTGAGATAAAAGTGGATAGTAGGCACTGTGCTGCAGGAAGTCAGCCTGTACATAGTGTTCATGCCGTGCCAGGTAAGGGGGTAAAGGGGAGGTGGCCTAGTTAGACGGTAGCAATGGAGTAGCAGGAGCAGCGTGCATCCTGCTATATCCTGCAGGTTAGATCCAGCAGCAGGAAGCAGAGCATTCATTTTAAAGCTCGTTCTCTGGTGAGTCCACGGGAAATTCAAAGTTACCATGTGCTCCTAGTACCACACCTAGACTCCTGGCAGCTGCGGGCAAGCTTTTAGTATCAGGCCCCCCTTCGCCAGAGATAATGATAATAATTATCGGACAATGTGGGGGGGAATGACCATTTTGGGGCCCCCTTTCTGTCCAGGCAGCTGCTTGGTTCGCCCATGTCTGTGTGTTCCTAAGCACGGACCTGCATGCCGGAGACTCCCACCTTCAGATGGATGCAGAAAGCAATCTTGGTCTAGCCAGGGTTATATGCTAGCACATGCACAGAGTATACAGAGGGAAAAATACTTCTGAACTGCTTTTACCCAAAGAATCTCTTCAGGGCAGCAGTAGCTGCAACGGCTCTTGTAGGTGGAGGGACTGTCTGATCCGTGAGACAAGGTTTGACACAGCGGAGCGCACGGGTACCCACATGCATTTGTCAGTACAGCATCCCATGCCCTAAAGCAAGAGAGCTGTCCCATTAACTTACCTAACGAAAAAGAAATCTGGCCAGGAAGAAGCCTGTGTTTCAGTCCCAATTTAACGGTCTTTGCACCCGTAAAACAGGGAAACCAAGTCAGCCAGCTGCCAGACTCTGCCTCATGCCACCCATGCCCTAGACACCGGGGAAGCCGAGATTATCAGGTAATCACAGGACTCCAGAAGCTGGTTATTTAAAAGCATCGTAAAATGTGCAGTCAAAATCATGAGTTATATCTAAAGAGCCACACACAAGTAACCTCCTCCAAGCTACAGAATGAGAATTATTGCATCGAGTATTCCGTAAATCATGCTCAACAAGGAGTAAAGTTAAAACTAAGATGCCTTCATGGACAATTCACGAACGTGGACAAAGACCCACTGTATCAAGTTATCTGCAGAGAACTAGCCACTCGGCTCTAAAGTAAGTACCTCTGTCTGTAATCACAACGGGCGTTTTTTCCAATTGTACCTTTCCTGATCAACAGGAAAACAGTGTTTTAAAAAATGAGAAGTCAGAGAAAAACTTGTTTGGTAAACACAGTCTCTCTTTGGGAAACATCTCTGTTGTAATTAGGCTTCCCAGGCTGGGTTTAAATTGGTTTACATAAACCTCTGCTCAGTGTTTATGTTAGACTGTTCAAGATTTGTGGCTGACCTACATATCCCAACAAAACGTTTGCTGCATACTTCTGAAAAACATTTGCATGATAGAAGATGATGAAAATATGCATAATTGCAGATGACATTTTTCATTCCTAAATCCTCTTGTACAGAACTTTGGACCCGGCCATGCATGAAAGAGGCTTGTGATTGTAATGGGCAGATTTTCTGGCTGCGCTAGAAATCCCAACCTTTGGGACATTTGGCTTCTGTTTCTCCCTGAGCACCACACATCTGGCGTGACCGCCTAACCAAAGGGAACCTCGGCATGCCGAGCACATGCCGGGCATGGACCGAGGGAGGTTGGCAGGGATGAAACCCTCATGCCGTGGGAGCCTGTTCACTCCCCAGCGCAGCTCGAGATGCATCTGTCTTGCTGTAACCCAACCCAATCCAGCACGGGGTGGTGCCATCTAAGTGCAGCTGCACCGCAGTATTTACAAGACGTGCTGGGTGCTCCCAGGGTTAACCGAGGTCCTCCTCTCTCATCTGACCATCCTGGAAATCAGAGGGAGTTATCCAATGTGAAAAAGGAACTGCCCGGGGTCAAAACATTTAGCCCCTTCAGTAACTAGGTTTGCCTGTCTTTAGGCTGGCGATTTAAACCCACAGAAAAGCTTGGACTCAGCCACGGGCAGTGCTCCGGCTTCATTCAAGCACAAGGTCGATTCATTTGACCAAGGTCAGGAAGAGAAGCTCAGGCCCTCCTTGCTTCCAGCTCTCTGCTCCGTCTACTAGGGGTAGGAAGCACAGCGGCGAGGCAGGGGACCTCTACCTCATCCTCAGGCTTTGCGTGATGGCTTCCAAGGTACAAGCAGCTGGCTGGGAAAGCTAGTGCATGTTTCTTTTGAATGCGTCCCCCAAGTCCAAGATCACTGCCGGATTACATCCAGAGGAGCTGACAGAGTCTCTCTCTCAACAGCACTGCTTATTTTTCCTTCACTAACGTCTTCGGTACAGTAATTAATTGGAAATAAAGAAAAAAGACACTCACCAGCTGGAGCTGTCTCAAGCTCTGAGAATACAACCAGGACATGTTTTGAGGGTTTTTAATGTCCAGTCTCAAAATGCTAAGTCCATGGGGGTGGTAGGTCCTTTTCCTCCCTCACCTCCTTCAGTCCCTTGTGCTCTGCAGTGGAAAAGGGCTTTAAACATTGGCTCTGTTACCAGAATGGAATAAGCTAACAACCCCCCCAAGCTTTTAATTACTGTTCTAACAAGCGACCTGATTCAAACTCAAAGTCAGTGAAAGACTCCAATCAAGCCCCAGATACTTCACTTTATTATTCCCTCTCTACTATAAAACTACTGCACTTTAGCCTCTAACTTAGTGGTCTATCCCTTCCCATCGCACAGACCAAACTGGCCAACCTGCAGCCTTAAAGAGGGACCACTCTGCTTGCTTGCATGCTCTGACCAGACACACGGTGCAAGGCACTGCTCTGAAAATGCCTGTTACACCGCTACTGGCAAATGCCTTCACCTGTCTAAGGGCTGTTCAGCAGCATGTGACGGGTCCAGCACCGATTTCTCACTATAGATCCACACTGGAGATGGGGTGCACTAGCAGGTGCTTCTAAAACTGCTGTGACACAAAGCCGAAGAACCCTGACATACTAAGCTGAGCGTAAAAAACTTTGAGACTTTTCAGAACATTAAATGTGCCAGAGTGCTGCAATGAAGATTTTCCCTAGTAATGCCCCTTGCTGGCCTTGTTTTTGCTAAGCCCTGTCTTATTTATTGTTTTAATCTATGGAGTTCTGCAGTGCAGAAACTAGTCATTTGTCTGACAGGAATAAAATGTTACCGGAAGGAGGGAGGGAAATCCTGACTCCAAACCTGGCTTCCATTCAAAGCTTGCAGAGCCCTTGAGAGGCACCAAAGGCCACTGTGCAGGTCCCTGCAGCAATGATGAGTTTGGAGAGACCCGGCTGAGGCAGACTCTCCCTATGCCTGAAGAAGGGCGTTTGCACCCAAAAGCTTGCAAAGAACAATTTTTCCAACTACTTAGTTGGTCTAATTAAAGATACCATATCTACCCAAAGACTGCAGGACCAGCAGGTTCAAAGCACTGTGCCTGTGTGAGAGAGAGGAGGAAAAGGCAAGAGCATTTCAGGAGCACACAGAAAAGAAGCCCGAGACATGGCCCGAGAAGCCCAGGCAGGAAGATCCTGAGAAAAAGCCAGAAGAGGGAATGCTTTTTGGATAAAGCACTGGCTGGAAAGAAGCTCAGAACCACGAGCAAGAAAACCGTCTCTTCCTCTCTGCCCCCTCAGTGTTTAGGAACAAGGCTTTGCGTGCACGCTTTGTGAATGAAGAGGACTGCATCATCTACCTGACCCCAGCACAGCTGTCTCCTCCTGACACAAGCACCTTGCTTGGGAATGGGAGGATGGTTTTGTCTGCATGGACTGTTGCCTGCTATCAGCTCCTCCTGTTCACCCACCTTCAGTGTCTGGAGGGGAAGGCCTGCAGCTCTCTCCCCTACCTTGAAGCCAGGGTTTTATTTTTTCCAGCAAACAGATGTTTTAGATTTAGCCATCAGAAAACTAGTCCCAAAGACAGACATAACCATTAACCTTAGAGCAGCTGAGCCTGATGAAAAGTCCTGGAAAGTTAATGAACACAGGGAATTACACACCTCATTTCAGTTGTAATGGAAAATATCCTGGAGCTGCAGACTCTGAACTCACAATCACCCGAGTCCTTATTTTTCCAGCATTCCCACAAAATTCACCCCCCACTTCCCCCAAAGTTTTCCCGTCTGCATCTCACTGGAGAACAGCGGGGCTTTTGGCTTGTCCTCTTCAGGAGAGGACCAGCCCTACGGGACTAAAGGCACCGGCTGTTCCCAACAACGTTCCCGCGGGCGCGCACTCGTGCCTGTCAAAAGGCTGCGGGCCGGCGTTTTAGCAGCCCGAGCTGCGTGGAGCGGATGCGCGGCACTGACGGGAAGCCAAAGGCAGGGTGTCGGGAGCCACCATGGCAAGTCATGAGCGGCAGCTACACTAGTGTCTCTTCCCCTGCTGCTAAAGCCAAAGCACTTGGGTAGACGAAACAGCAGCCACTTCGTTTGGCTTTGGCTGAAGGGCGCCAGGGAACTTAATCTCTTTCCATGTGTCCCCACATCACTCTGAGCATCTTCCCGGGGGGCTTGTGCAGCTTGGTAAGCCTTTGCTTCCATATTTTCATAATTAGCAGAAACATCTTGCAGGGTCGGCAAACAAGCGTGCGAGAAGAGCCCGACCCCCAGGATCTGCAGGCGAGGAGAGCTTACTCCCATCCGGGAAGCCGATCCCACCCTGGAGATGGCGAGGAAGAGAAGGGGGAGCAGGCCGCAGGCCTCACGGCAGGAGCTGCAGGCGGGGCTGACGGACGAGCACCGCGGAGAGCAGAAGCCGGCCGAGCCCTGATGCCACCAGCAGTGCTAGCGCCCCAGCTCCGGCACCGACACCGCCAGCTCCTCGGGCTGCGGCTCCCCGCCTCAGACACGCCGTCCTCCCGCGGAGGCCCGAGCTCGGGTGCAGGTGGAGGGGCTGGGGTGCCGTACGCAGGTAGTGAGGGGCGGGCGCGCGACCCCGGCCCTTAGGCCGCGTCCGAGCCGGGGAGTCGCGTCGCGCCCCGCCCCGCGCAGCGCAGCGCCC